TTTAACTTCACAACCAGGGTGGGCAGGTCAGTCAGGGAGCCGCTGTGCTGTTTTCTCAAAGGGTTCTGTGGTAGTTAAGAGAAGGACCAAAGTGGCCAGAGTGATAGCACTGCGGATAGGGCATTTGCCTTGCACACGGCCAACCCGGATTCGATTCCCAGCATCCCATATGGTCCCCCAACACCGCCAGGAGTAACTCCTGAGTGCAGAGCTAGGAGTAACCCCTGAGCATCGCTGGGTGTGACCCAAAAAGGAAAAAAAAAGAGAGAAGGACCAAAGGAGATGGGGAGAATCTTGCTCAGCTCTGTCTGCTAAAGGCAGCACCTGCGAGAATCCCCGAGTAAGCAGAGTCCGAGGCGGACGTGAGTAAGCAGAGTCTGAGGCAGACGTGAATCTTGTTGCAATATCTACACCACCACGTCAGCTCTTTTTTCCCTGTGGGGAAGGAAGTTTAGCAGGGCAGGCAAACACAGCTTTCCACATTACTGATCAAGGTCTTTTGTCCAGCCACTGAAATGAGAGGAAAATCCCAGAAGTCAGAAGAGAAGGATTTCTTTCTGCAGGTGCAGCAAGGGGTGGAAAAGGGCAGGAAAAGACCAAGTCGTAGGAGGGAGTCCAATAACCTCGCTAGGGACTTCGATGCAGCCTCTAGGCCATCACCATCTCTTCTTTTTGGTTGTGTTGTCATCCCATCCCAATACATATGGGCCACTGAAATTTGATAAACCTGATCTACAGCAATGGTTTCCATGGCCAGGCATCCGTGTAACCATGGGTCTGGCACTCTGGGATTCTGGTTCTGACCCTTGTTTGTTTGTTTTTTTCCTTTCTTCTCACCTGGTATTTTTCTTTTATTTAGGCACAGTGATTTATGGATTTATTAATAGACTTCCAGGCACCCACTGTTCTAACTCCCACCAGTCATTTTTTTCCAGAGGGCTAAATGTGTTGTCCTTTGAGAAGTGTTGGGTCAAATGGTAGGACAGGGAAGGAAAGGCTGGTTCATAGAGGAGGAAGTTGCTCGGAGTTACAGACTTTGCCAACCCTGTTGTCCAAAATTCTACCTGCCCCCTTTTCTCCAGGCTTAGCATCTTTCCCTGCAATGTCCAGAGCTCCCTGAGGAGAACAGTAGCATAAGTAAGCCCATTCCACTCAGGGGAAGGATTGTGACCATTATATGTGTATCCCAAGGGAGCAGCAGACATTCTCTGAAAAACTTGGGAAAGCAGCACCTTTCTTTCCTTCTTTGTAGGTGGGTTACCTGTGGTGCCATGGTTTCTGGTCCCAGGAGAGAAGACCTTGAAGGAAGCTGCCCATGAACTTCCTACCTCCTCCCCGCTCCAGAGCTCAGGAGCTTCATTTTGGTTTTGTCTGGTTTTGTTTTTATTTGGGGTCACATCCTGTGGTGCCCCTGCAGTGTTCAGGATTTCATTCTGGCTCTGCACACAGGGATTACACCTGGAGGGCCTGGGGAACCATACTGGATGCTGGGGATCAAACCTGGTCTGCCACATGCAAGGCAAACACCCTACCCAGTGGACTATCGCTCCAGCCTTCCACAGCTTTGATGATGAGACCAAGGGAGCCCTCTGTCACCTACACTTGAACTTTAACCTGAGACCTGATGAGGGAGGTACCAGGAAGTGCAGACTGTAGGAGAGCAGGTCATGGTGCTTCTCTCTGAAGTTCATACCTGCTGTGGCCTCTGATTCCACCTTGGGGAACCCAGGAAGAAGCAGAGCTTCTGAGCAAGTGTGAATCTCACAGTGGGGTATTCCCCTGATAAAGAACAGGCAGGCTAGAGGCACCTGGAGAAAGTGCACTGCACACATACCAGCTGTGTGTGAGACAGAACTTGCATTCAGTCAGAGCAGGAATGGGTCACATCTAGCCACACTTCTGGCTCTCTGCTCAGGGAACCCACCCACTAGTGCTCAGGGGACTCAGTGCAGTACTAGGGGTTGAACTGGGGTCAGCTGCATGCAAGGCAAGTGCCTTAACCCTGTGTTATCTCTCTGGCCCCCAAATTTAATTTTTCTCATTTAAATAATACACGAGAGAAGTTTGAGAACTATGTTGAAGGGGAACATGCCTTCACGTCCATGTTGGTTCTGCCTGTCAGTTGCATGCTGCTAAGGTTCACTGGAAAGTGTGGGAGTTTCACGGTGGGGCCACTGCTGACAAGACAACTGCTCAATTGTAATTTCTGAGTGACCAGCGGGTATGCACCACACTTTCTCCCTACTGGGGCGAAGTGGCGAATGGGAGGTGGAAGGCACATATAGAGAGCATTCTAACCTGGTTCAGGGCAGGCTCAGATGCAGACCCCACCCTGCACACACACCCCCACCCCAGTCCCTGCTTGGGGCCAGTGTTCACTTCTACTGGGAAGCTGCGTGGTGCTAGTGAGAAGATAGTGGATGATTTCCTGCCCTTTCAGCATATTTTATAGGCATCTGGAGGACAGCGCTCCAAGACCCCAAACCCTGGTGCTCTCAGCTGGATGCTGCGGCTAATCCAATCCCGTTTATAGCTCTTTACCTCCAGGACCCAACTGTGACTGTCTGCTCTGTTCAGCTGAAGTTCAGGGCTGCATGTGACCCCTTGATCAGCATCTTGCTTTCCACAGCAGGGACCGAAAAGCTGATGGTCAGGCATGGGATTAAGCCAAAGGGGAAAGGAAGTTTCATCACAAAAAAATTCCTCATTCGGAAATGGAAAGATATCCCCTGCTCATGGGTCGGGAGACTTAACATTGTCAAAATGGCAATACTACCGAAAGTATTGTATAAATTCAATGCAATCCCTATAAGGATACCCATGACATTCTTCAAAGAAATGGAGCAAACACTCCTGAAATTTATATGGAACAATAAGCCCCCACGAATAGCTAAAGCAATTCTTGGGAAAAAGAAAATGGGAGGAATCAACCTCCCGAACTTCAAACTGTACTACAAAGCAGTAATAATTAAAACAGCATGGTACTGGAACAAAGGCAGAACTGCAGACCAATGGAACAGGGTTGAATACACTGACATCTCCCCTCAATCATATGCTCATCTAATCTTTGATAAAGGTGCAAGTAATGTGAAGTGGAGTAAGGAAAGCCTCTTTAAAAAATTGTGTTTGCATCACTGGACGGCTACATGCAAAAAAAATAGGCTCAGAACTCTGCCTAACACCATGTACAAAAGTAAGATCAAAATGGATTAAAGACCTCAACATCAGACCAGAAATCATAAGGTACATTGAAGATAAAGTTGGCAAAACCCTCCATGACATTGAAGCTAATGGTATCTTCAAAGATGCCACGCCACTGGCCGAGCAAGTGAAAACAGAGATAGATAAATGGGACTATCTTAAACTAAGAAGCTTCTGCACCTCCAAAGAAACAGTGACCAAAATACAAAGACAGTCTACAGAATGGGAAAGGATATTCACCGAATACACATCTGACAAGGGGTTGATATCCAGGATATACAAAATACTGGTTAAACTCCACAAGAAGAAAACATCCAACCCCATCCAAAAATGGGGCAATGAAATGAACAGAAACTTTCTCAAAGAAGAAATCCGAATGGCAAAAAAGCACATGAGAAAATGCTCTACATCATTAATCATCAGGGAGATGCAGATCAAAACCACAATGAGATACCATCTCACACCTCAGAGACTGGCCCACATTCAAAAGAACAAAAGCAACCGATGCTGGCGTGGATGTGGCGAGAAAGGGACACTCCTTCACTGTTGGTGGGAATGTCCACTGGTTCAGCCCTTCTGGAAAACAGTATGGACGATTCTCAAAAAATTAGAAATTGAGCTCCCATTTGACCCAGCAATACCACTCCTGAGAATATATCCCAGAGAGGCAAAAATGTATAGTCGAAGTGACATCTGCACTTGATTGTTCATTGCAGCACTCTTTACAATAGCCAGAAACTGGAAGAAACCTGAATGCCCAAGAACAGATGACTGGTTAAAGAAACTTTGGTACATCTATACAATGGAGTACTATGTAGCTGTTAGAAAAGATGAAGTCATGAAATTTACATACAAGTGGTACAATATGGAAAGTATCATGCTAAGCGAAATGAGTCAGAAAGAGAGGGATAGACATAGAAAGATTGCATTCATCTGGGGGATATAAAGTAACAAAGTATGAGATTAATACCCAAGAATAGCTGAGATCAGCACCAGGAGGATTACTCCATAACTTAGAGGCCAGCCGGGTATCCTAGAGGAAAGGGCAGCTCAGATAGAGAAGGGAGCACCAAATAAAGGATGTTTGGAGGATCCTTCCAGGAGGGGAGATGCATGTCGAAAGTAGACTATGGACTGAACATGTTTGCCACTCAATGCCTCTTTTGCAGACCACAACACCCAAAAGGAGAGAGAGAACACAGGGGATTGCCCTGCCACAGAGACAGGGGGGATAGGGGGATGGGGGTGGGAGGGATATTATCCATGGTGGTGGAAAATGGGCACTGGTGGAGGGATGGGTATCTGATCATTGTATAATTGAAACCAAAGCACAAAAAATTGTAAATCTACAACTTTAAAAAAAATAAAATAAAATAAAGGGAAAAAAAATTCCTCATTCAAGCAAATACACCGGCTGGAAAAGGCTGGCCGAAATCTTCCCGAAAACATTTGCTTTTCTCTGGATGCATTCCTCTGCCTTCCCCCAAGTTTTCTAGTTTAAGAAGCTCATTTCTAAAAAAAACAAAAAAACAACTAATGTTCTGTTTAAATCTTCCTTCCTGAGATCAGCTGGATCGTGGGAGTGCATCCTTCCTGGCACATATTAAAACTGTAAATAATCTTGTCATTTGGAATAAATCTCCTTCGTGTGCATGTCATCATGGAAACCACCTCTAATTAGTGTCACATTACCTTGTGGCAGAGGTGGATTTACTTCAGTTTTCTGATTGACCTTGAGTTTGGCCTCCAAGTTGCTAGAGTGCTGATGAAGTCAGTAAGGGCTGTGCATTGATTTTCAGACACGAGGACCGTCACCAGCCCAGTGCCAGCTGCATCCCCTGGACCAACCGTTTTCAACAACACGATGGCTGGAACCAAGATGAAGCGCATGAGGGAGTAAGTAGCCAGTGGCCCCCTTGGGTGCAGTGTTAGTTTGACAAAGACTGTGATCTCTCTGGGTGATGTGCTGTCACCTATTTTTGTTTGTTTTGGGGGGGCTCACCTGGCAGTGCTCAGCATCTACTCCCGACTCTGCACTCAGGGATCACTCCTGATGGGCTTAGAGGACCATATGGGGTACCAGGGATTGAACCTGGGTCAGCCCTCTGGGTCGGCTGTGAGCCAGGCAAATGTTCTATCTGCTACACTGCCTGCTACTGCTCTGGCCCCTTGCTTTCACCTATTGCCACAAAAGCAGCCCTTATGCATTCTTGGATACAGTGGGATGGTACATGGTCTGTGCAAACGGTCCAGTCTACAGTGATTCGTTTGTGAGTCTCTACTTGCATTTCCCCCTAAACTCATATGTTGGAATCTTCACCCACAAAGATGATGGTCATAGTAAGGGGTAAGAGATGCTTAGATAATGAGTCTGGGGTCCCCATGAGTGGGATTAGTGCTAAGTAATAAACAATCTAAAACAAGAATACAAGGACCTTTCTTTGGAGCTGGAGATGGGACCTAATAGTAGCACATATGCCTTGTTCCAGGCCTGGATTCTGTCCCCAGCACCCTATGAAGATAATGGTGAAGGGCCAGGGGGAGGGTGGGGAGGTGGTGAGAGGTTGCACATTTATTCGTTGTATCACTGTATCACTGTCATCCCATTGTTCATCAATTTACTTAAGCAGGCGCCAGTAACATCCATTCGTCCCAGCCCTGAGATTTTAGCAGCTTCTCCTTACTCGTCTTTCCCAATGCTGCCATATTGGAGGCTCTTTCAGGGTCAGGGGAATGAGACCCATTATTGTTACTGTTTTTGGCATATCAAATATGCCACAGGGAGTTTGCCAGGCACCATGAGAGCAGGATACTCTTAGTAGCTTGCCGAGCTCTCTGAGATATATATATATATATATATTTCCCTCTATGATTTTTTGTCTATAGTCTGAACCCCATCAAATATATGGGTAGGGAGTGTCTTATGATGTGTCCAGGAATAAGTCTCATATGTGAGGCTCGGCCCGAGCATGTGGAAAGAGGCCTGGAGGGTGGCAGCAGTTGGGTAGTGAAAGTCAGCTGCCAGGACTGGGTCCCTTGGGTGGGGAGGGGTCTCACCTGCCCCCCTCTGGGGCGCCCCAAGTGAAAACAGCCTAGCACGGAGTCTGGTGGCATGGTTATGGGAGCCTCATTTTGTGCTCCCTTCTGGGAGAAGCAGCCATGAGTACTCACGGCTGCACATTTATTCAAGAACAGAAATCACAGTTCTAGTCCCAAGGGTGGCCGCAAGGTGTATGCAACCAGGATCAGGCAGAGAAGTGGTTTTTTCTGAGCCTTTGGGTACTGGTTTGCAAGTCTGCCCAGATGTCCATGACAGCTGGACACAAATCTCCAGGCAGAAGGCTACAGTGGCCAGGGGGATGAGAGATGGGATGGGGGGAGGAGGACGGGGTGGGGGGAGGAGGGTTTGTTATCACCATCAGAAGACTCTCTTTTGTAGTCATACATGAACTCCCACTTTTCAGATTTCATGCAGTATTCTCCTCTAGAAGTGCTTCAAACCTTTCAACTGGTCCCAACAATGCAGAGTGCTCCAGATTTGCAGACAGCAGGCCAGGTTGGGTCCATGGGCCCTTCCAGTGAGGGTCCCACTTAGTGACTTCACTCAGTGAAGCTAGTCCTACATGGCTGCTGGGTGAATAGCTCAAGAATTTGGCAAAGTCTGTGTGTCCATCCCATGGGGTTTCTGTCGTCCCAGCCCCTCCAGGGCAAGCAGCAGGCATGCTCGTGTTGGGAAGCCAAGGAGAAAAATTCTCAAAATCTTCATTTCCAGGCCTAAAGCTACTGGTGTATTTAGCTGCTTATTGTTCTCACGTGGGTGCCTGAGTGGTCATAGTGTAGCCCGGTTACCATGGCGATGGAGCACTTCTAGAAACTGCAGGTGAGGATATTAGGCTAAATTTTCCCGCCTCTTGTCTCCTTCCACTTCTCCTTGCCAGCAGGAGAATATGGAGGCGGTTTTGCTTATCTACCCATCCAGAATCTTCACAACAAAGAGAACGAACTCACTTATTCTGCCCTGAAAATTTCATACTGCAATGTGACTAGATTTTTCTTATTTACACTTCAATTACTTTTAGCAAGTAGATAGCATCTCAGTGTATTTTGAAATGCATAGGTTCATTAAAATGAAAGCAGTTTAAAAAAAAAAGCGAATGACCAAGATGTATCACAGTGATCTTACTTCCAGCATGTTGTTGTGTACTGCAAGGCTGTGATTCACCGAGGACTTTCAGACTTGTGTATTCCTGTGGTTTAGTGCTACTTAGATTGTGCCCCCTCTTGGCCAGCATTGCTCCTCTGACAGAATAACCCATCACCCCCTGATATTCCATGCCACTACATCCATTCCAGAAAAGACAAGAAGGAAGTGGAGTGTGTGGGAAGCACTGGCTGACCTGGTGAAGATGGTGTTTCCTCAAGTCTCTGGCCCAGGATGACAATGGTGGGCATGCCTCACTTTCCTTCTTGCAGTCTGGCAGGCATAGGTGAATTTTTAACCTGCTCTTTGGCATGTCCGCTAGGACTCCCACAATGCATTTCAAAGGCAGGCTGTTTAAAGCTGAACTCCTACAAACATGCTGCTCCCATGGCCCACCCCATCTTTCCAGATGGTGCGCCTGTACGGAGCTGCCCTGTCTTTTCAGACAACAGATGGTCTGTAAGTAAGAGCAAACGTTCCGGCTCAGCCACGGGAAGCCAAAAAGTCTCAGTGTGTGACAGGTTAAGGATACCACACCACAGGCTGCTTCATACACTATGAAAGAAGCAAGCTCTGTAAGGACACAGGGGAATGATGAATTTCTTCCAGTTCTCTTTGCTGAGAGATCCCAGGGCTAAGTCTTAGTAAAGACCGGCCCCAACACTAGGCAGGCCCTCCCGGCATTCAGGAGGGGCTGCAGGGAAGAGTGACAGCTGGGGTTAGTGTTCCTTGATTTTTCTTACTGGCATCTGTCCCAGACAGGTTCCCTGACCTCCTCATGCCCGAGATGTCTCATCTTTAGAGTGTGGCTAATAGTGGTTGCCACCTTGGGGGGCAGTAGGGAGTGTTAGTTGTGATCACGACAGTTTGAAGTGCCCAGAGGATAATTCATGGCACAGAGTGAGTGATCAGTAACTAAATTTGCAATTTGCAAGAGTTGCTCCTAAGCTCTCGGTGTACATGTGGCTGCCTCCTCTTGCAAAGTATCTGAAGGTGTTGGCAAGTGTTTGTCTGCCGATTGATGTTCTGTACCCGAGAACAGATCAGCAGCAGGTGAAGAGCTGTCCATGGATGGAGACATTTCTAGAATCTGGGTGTTTTGGTGTTATTTTTTTTCTGTTGTTTTTTAGCATGAAATAAAAAGTGTCGGTGTGCAGGGAAAATGTCATGAAATTGTTGACTATAAAAGGCAACCATTTACTGTCCTCCAGCAGTGGCTTCCTGTCCCGGCCACTTCCTCCTCCTGCTGGGTGTCCACTCTGCACCTGAACCCTCCTGCAGTGGCACTGCCAGCACTGAGCCCTCAGCAGCAGGGAGCAGCGCCACTCAAAGAGCTTGCAGTCAGCCGAGTGGCAAGAAATTCATTACGACTTCCGTTCAGGCTGAATCATTTCTTTCTTTCTTTCCTTCTTTCTTTCTTTCTTTCTTTCTTTCTTTCTTTCTTTCTTTCTTCTTTCTTTCTTTCTTTCTATTTCTTTCTTTCTATTTCTTTCTTTTTTCTCTCTTTCTTTCCTTCCTGCTTTCTTCCTCCTTCCCTCCCTCCCTCCCTCCCTCCCTCCCTCCCTCCCTCCCTCCTTCCCTTCCTTCCTTCCTTCCCTTTTTTTTGTAGTTTAGGTAACACAGTTAGTGTTAAAATTTATGGTATTGATGTACAAAGTTACTGCATACCCCCAACACATACACCAAAATGCCCCAAACCCTCCACCACTGCCCCTCAATAATCTCTAGTCTGACAGGCTGAATCGTTTCTGTGGACATTCACTTGACAGGTTGTTCATATATGGACAGAATGGTGTGTGATGGGCAAATGGATGGATGGATGGATGGATGGATGGATGGATGGATGGATGGATTGGTGGTTGAATAGGTGGAGGGGTGAATGGATGGATGAATGGGCGGGCAGATGAACTGATTTGTGGATGGATGGACTGACATATGAATGGATGGATAGATGGACAGATGGGTGTATTAATGGGTGGGTGGATAAATGGACGGATGGACAGATGGATGGATAGATGAATGAATGGATGGATGGATGGTTGGATGGATGGATGGATGGACGGATGGACAGATAGGTAAGCCCTCATGGCTTCACAGGCCTTATCCTGCAGAGTATAGGTTTCTGGTTTTCTATTCAGAAGCAGTTTCTCTACAACTGTAACCCTGATTTTATTACAGTATGACACCAGACTTCCACTAGAGGTTGAAGAGGAGAGGACTCTAGTAAGACAGTGGTTAGCCTCAGCAACGAGGGAAGTATCGCATACTGTTTCCAAGGGATCAGACTCTTAATGCATACACGTCATGTTTCAGAAGGATCAGTTCATCCAAAGGAACATCTCTCTTGGCTTTTTTGTCTCCATTTGGAGATTTGCTTCCTTAACATGGTCTGCAGCCAGCCACTTTTACATCAATGAGAACCTTGTAAGACATGCAGACCCTCCGGCCTCACCCTTCCCAGATCAGAATCTTCATTTTAATAAACTCTGTGGAGATTCTCTTCTATGTCCTTGTCTGAGAGCACTGACTCTAGAGTGCTCTTACAGGGAGGGTAGTTTGTCATCAGAGCATGAGTTGGGATGAAAGCCAAATACAAGCCTCTAAGTGACTCTTAAAAGCCTGCCTACGTGCTCACTTCTTGAGATGTACTTTCGCTTTCATTTTATCTAGTAATTTTTTGCTTGTGTCGCTGAAA